GTATCGTAAGTGATGAATTATTTTGCTATATGCGGCAAAACCTGATCCTTCAAGTCAATGAGGCATGCCGGATACGAATTTGATAGCATATTTAGCTCTATATTTATATTTGTTAGATATTTTTAAATATTACGTGTTTATGATGATTTTTAATTGTATGAATTTGATTTTGAATTTTAGTTTTTAATGCGTCTCTTATAAAATTTGAATATGAATTATAGATGCCAATTGATAATTTATTATTAAAATTTTAATTGGTAATTTTTGTTGGAAAGGCATTACTGATGAAACAATTAAATTTTTGTTAGAAATACATCATCAGCCGAAAATTTTGTTTAAAATTTTTCAAAAACTTTTTTGTTGAATATTATTTCCGATGAAAATTACGTGAGAAATTTTTTTTTTTTTACAAAAATTGCGTTAGAAATTCCGTAGGAAATTTTTTACGTAATTTCGTTGGAAATACTTTTTTAACGAAAAATTTCTTGGAAATGCTTCTCCAACGGAAAATTCCGATGGAAATTTTTGACAAAATTTTGTTGGAAAAACATTTTCAATGAAAATTTTGTTGAAAATTTCTAACGGAATTGATAAATTGCAGTTAACAAATTATGTATTTTTTTCGATGAAATTTTTCAACGGAATTTTTCACTAGAAATTTCCTACGTATTTCCAACGAAAAATATTTTCGATGATGTTTTTATCGATAGAATTTTTAACAGATTTTCAATTGAAAATTCGTCAAAAAAGACATGTCCAACGAAATTTCAATTTTTTCCGACGAAAAGTTTCGTTAGAAAAAACTTATTTTTTGGTAGTGTACTCATTTAATTAACCAACAGTGTTAACCTTGCGTACAAATTGATAGGAGGAAGCAAAAGTCGACTATTTAATTACAAATTTTAAATTTCAAGTATCAAATTAAGAATTTAACTACAATTCAAGTTTTGAATATATACTTAGTCTTTTTTTTTTTGTTAAGCATCTACTTAAAGTCTCGTTGGCATAAGCTTTCTTACATAAAAAATTAAGTTCGAGTATCTAATTGTGAAGTTTTAAATTTGAAGAACCAAATTGAGAATTTAACTATAATTCAAGTACCAAATATGTAATTAATTCTTCTTTGTTTTTTTTTTATTGATAAGCATATGGTTAGCTATACCAAAAGCTCGTTGGCAGAAGCTTTTCCTATATAAAACTCATACGAAAGAGCTAGCATAGCGTGTCAACTGGGATCCTAACAAGGTTTTTTGTTTTTTGTTTTTGGCAGTTAAAATATCATAGCTAAGTCGAAATGATTAGATTGGAAGCAACTAGGTTAATGGTGAGATGGAAGGGCTAGTTCAATTATCTTGAAAATAGACCAAATCGCTTTGTTTTCCTCTTATTATTAAGAGCTCGAAGATGTACCACCGACAAAAACCAATAATGCTCCAGCTATTTTATGTTGATAAAAAATTCTGGGCATCATTATGAAAGAAATGACGAGGTTTACAAAAGCGGGTCAGTCTGTTTGAAAATAACTTCATTTTTCTGTTGCCGGAGCCCGGAGGAGGTACACGAATACAGGAAAACTGGCAATCAAGTTTTGAAAGAGGCATATTTCTTGAGTGAATTCTATAGCAAATGTGGGTTTAGTTTGAACCAGTAACTGTGAATAAAATATGATGACACGACACCTTCTAAACGAAACTGTTAGAAATTCGAACCTTTACTATAAAGTTGCATTTTCTATAACATTAATGAACTATCATGACCTTTCTAACTATTGATTGTTTTGATGCCATAGATTTTGGTTCTTTCATCATTAGACTATGTTTTCTTCTGTTTTCTACCAGTTGGAGACAAGTGCATGAAAATAGAGGTCGTGGTTGCTGTAAGACATCCTCCTTCCATCTCGGACAATGGAGCTTGTTGCATGTATAGCTTTGTTTAAATTTTTCTCTCCCATCCCATGACCCATCTCATTACATTCACCCATATGTATAGATCCTTCTTCCATGTTATCTTGATTCATCTTGAAATGAACATTTTCTTTTGATGCTTCCATTCACTTATTTCAAACTTTACAATAGGAACTGAGGTTTTCAAACCAAATGGGGAAAAAAATGAATAAATAACCAGAGTTTTGCAGCTGAACTAGGGTGGAATGTAATTCTTTCTATCTGAAACTTAACTACCTGATAACTCTGACTTATTCTTTCTAACTACTTGAAAGCTAGTTTAGCATTGGAGGCAGATGAGTATAGCAATGAAGATGCAGAAAAGCTTGTACTGCTGCTTTGAGGATATGAGTTCTGCATCATTGATGATGTGGAGTTGCTGTTTCCATGGTGATTACATTCCGATGAGGCGTTGAGAACCATGCTGACTTTCATACACTCCTCCCTCTCCTGCCTTATTTCCTTTAACATGGCTGCGATGTCTTTCATGGTAGGCCTATCATCAGGGGAAGGGTTTACACACAGCAAACCCACCCCTAAGGTCTGCAACATTTCCTCGATCTCAGATTCAGGCCTAGCTTGTAAGCTGGGATCTAGGACTTCAATCCTTCCTCTTTTCTGTCTTACCCAATCTACAATGTGGAGCCCATCTGGTATGGTTGGATCAATTGGTTGCTTTCCTGTTAGCACTTCCAACACCACAACTCCATAGCTATACACATCACTTTTCTCTGTTATCTTCATCATATAGCCATACTCTGCAATAATAACAGCCACCAAAATATAAAACTATGTCAGACTTACCATTCTCATATTAGAACATGATAAGTTGGTGAAACATCACAACTAGTACAATTCCTAGAATGAAATAGGAAAATAATGTGACAAAGAAAGAAAGAAAGTGAAATCACACATGTTTTTCATCAACCCATATTATGCAGTATATAAGAATGTGCCAACAGTATTCCAGCATTAGATGGTTTCGTCTATTTATACAGATTAGTAAACATTCTTCCTTCCTACAATCTGTCCTTCTAAAAGTTTATGAGTGAAAAGAATTTGATTTTTCAAGTGTTTTTACAATTGTTGAGTGTTCTTGAGGAAATGAAAATTTTCTTTTTTTCTGCTGATGATCTATTTTGAACTAACCTGGAGCAATGTAACCATAGGAGCCAGCAACCGTGCTGGAAGACCTAGCGAAATCTCCACTATCGACAAGCTTGGCAAGTCCAAAATCAGCAAGGTAAGGTTCAAATTGAGGTCCAATGAGAATGTTATTGGCCTTGATATCCCTGTGAACGATGGGAGGAACGCAGTCATGGTGCAGATAAGCCAAACCATGAGCTGCCCCCAACACAATTCGATATCTAAGTTCCCATTCCAAGCAGCTGCCACTGCGCTCATGAAGAAGACTACCCAAACTTCCATTTTCCATGTAATCATACATAAGCAATCTTGTGCTCCGGTTCCAACAGCAGCCTAAGAACCTCACTATGTTTTTGTGGCGGATTGAACCAAGAGTTTTTACCTCAGCAGAAAAGGAATCACGAACTCCGCCTATTCCAATTTTGTCACTATGGCAATCACATCCAGCTGCCATTGTAGTTGGCCAAAGCTTCTTTACCGCAATGATTTCCCCATTTCCAAGTTCTGCACGATAAACCATCCCTGAACAACCCTTTCCAATAACATTGGCTTCCACTAAACATTTCAAAACTTGATCAACTGAGAAATTTAACTTCTGGAATGGTGTGAATTGCCAAGGCCATGAATCCCCTCCCATCTCAGAATCATTATCATCTCCAATAATCTTCCTAGCTCTTAAGACTGCAAAAGCCCCAAAGATTGCTAATGCAATGGTCAAGGTAACAAGCAACGCAATAGCTATTTTAAGTGTTTGTGACCGTCTGAAACCATCATCATTTTGCAAACGAGTTGCTGTAGCATTGCTGAGGAAACATGACTCGTGGCCCTTAGAACACAGCCCCTGGTTTCCTGCCATTTCTGTTGCTGATAACTGTCGGAACAACTTGCTATCTGGGAGATAGCCAGTGAAATTGTTGTAGGAGATGTTCAGAGAAACAAGATTGTCAAGCCCAGAAAGCGCTACCAAGTCACCTTCAAGCTTATTGTGTGAAAGGTCCAATATGGATAGCTTGTTCAGCGCAGAAATTTGAGGTGGGATTACCCCAGATAGTGCGTTCCAACTTAGATTCAGAGCAATATCAAGAGCTTGGATGTCAAACAGTTCCTCTGGGATTGAACCAGATAGTGCATTACTGCTAAGATCAAGCAATTGGAGATTTAAACAATGACCAAGAGAGGAGGGGATTGATCCCGAGAGAGAGTTTCTGCTAAGAATAAGTCTATTGAGTGAAGTAAGTTGGCCAAAACTCTGGGGTATTTGTCCCTTTAACTGATTAACAGAAACATCCAATACCTGAAGTCTTGTAAGAGAAGATAAAGAGAAAGGCAAAGAACCTCCAATGGTGTTATTGCTCAGGTTCAGCATCTGCAACTGAGTGCAGTTACCTATCTCATCTGGCACTGAGCCTCCAAGATGGTTGTCAGACAGGTCAAGGAAACTGAGGTTGTCAAGGAAACCAATCTCTTTTGGGATCTCTCCACTGATTCTGTTATTAACAAGCCGGACTCTGATAAGAGAACTGCAATTACCAATCTCAGGAGGTATGATGCCCGAAATGTCATTAGAAATTAAGAGAAGCTTTGTTAGATTTTGAAGCTGAAATAAGCTGGATGGCAAGCTCCCAGTGAGTGCATTGTGTGACAAATCTAGAGCCTCGAGGCTCCTGCAACCAGCCAATGCTGCTGGAATGCTTCCTTCAAGTTTGTTCTGCCATGCAAAGAAGACTGCCAGCTTCTTCAACATCCCAAGCTCTGTTGGAATAAAGCCTGATATCTGATTCGTATCAAGCTGTAACTGTACTAGGCTTGTAGCATTAGAAAGAACTGGTGGAATAGTGCCAGTGATGTTGTTGTTACTAAGCATGAGCTCTTGAAGATTCGAGAGGTTTCCAAATGACCGAGGTATGCTTCCAGAAAAATAATTTAAGGAAAGATCAATAGTTATCAAGCTTTTGCAGTTTCCTATTTGGTCAGGAATACTCCCATCAAAGTTGTTCTGCCACAGCAACAACTTCTCCAGTTTCTGAAGCTTACCCAACTCTGGTGGAAGTGATCCGGAGAGATCATTCTCATACAGATATAAGTCCACAAGCTCTGAACAGTTGCCAATATGTGGTGGAACCTCACCTGATAGCATAGTAGTATATACAGATAGAACTTGAAGTTTACTTAGCTTACCTAGTGAAACAGGAATTGAACCTGAAATTTTTGTATCAGCAAGACCCAACACCTTCAGGTTCTGGCAGTCTCCAATCTCATCTGGGAGTTTTCCTGCAATATCCTTGTTCCCTCCTGCACGTATAACTTCCAGATTTGACAGTTTACCAAGTTCAGCCGGAAGATTCCCACTTAAAAAGTTATCAAATATGAAGAGATTCTTAAGGCTGCTGCATTCACCAATCTCTGCAGGGATCTCCCCAGTAAGCTGGTTAGAGTTTAAAATCAAGTCCTGTAGATTTTGGAGTTTCCCTATACTTGAAGGAATACCACCAACAAGACTGTTTGAGCTGACATCAATAACTGTTAGTTGCATGCAGTCTCCAATATTAGGTGGGATTGTTCCAGTGAGATTAGCACCAGAAATGACAAGCTTTTGAAGGGAAGGAAGAGACGAAAAATTGGAAGGGAAGGGAAGAGCTAGCTCTATAAACTGAATATTGATTTCAATAACAGATTTTTTGGAAGAACAAGTGATGAAAGACCAGCTACAAGGGTGGGGGTCTGAAGGATGCCAGTTGGAGAGTGCAGCAGGAGGTGAAGGGGAGCTGTGAAGCCAGTACAGTAGGGCAAGGACTTCATTATTTGCTGCAGAAACTGCATATGGCAAAAGTACAAGGAAGAAGAGTGGTAGAAGGTGATAGTGATGGTGAGTGGTAAAAGATTGCCTTGGCATTGGCTGCTGCTTGTAAGTTTTGGACTGCCTCGGCATCGGCAATGGGTCTCTCTATCTCTCTCACGCTCTCTAAAACTTACTCTAAATGAGCTGCTAGTGGAATTAGTCTATTACTACTACTATATTTCCTTTGCCGGCAAGCAAGAAAAGTGTTGATAAAGAAAGCATTAAAGATTTGGAACCACACCACCATCACTATCTTGGCCTCGGGGTTCTGTTCTTTGCTTGTAATCTTTTACATTTGAATATGTTCTGTTAGATTACTCATGAGCAGATACGCCATGTGTTTTTGCATTGTTTTCCTAAAAAAAATTAGTAGAATGGGCTGGTTTATTTTTGGTAATTGAGCCAAGCCCTTGGGGGCAGTCAAGCACCTTTGATTCTTTTCCCCTTTTTTATCAAAGAAGAAAATTTGATTTCAAAATTTCATGAATGCTGCATCCATTGTGTTTACCATCATACGATTCCTACCGCAGTAGCAGCATCCCACAAGGAAAATCTCCATAAATTTTTTGTGAGAGAGATTATCTAATCTCTTCGCAGCAATGCTAAAATAAATCACCCAGCTAACTGTCATACCACTATGGAGTTAATTAGTACAATTTTTTCAGCTAGCTGCTCGCTCCTTTTCTCCCCCTCTCTAGCCTGAGCCTGGGATTTCTCATTCCTCAAAACAGGTGGCTATGGCAAAAATTATAGTATAACATAAAGCAATTTGATGGTACACGATTAACAAGGTAAGCATCATCTTTTGTTTTCGGAAAAATGCATGCAAAGCATAAGCTGTATTTAATTAGTATAATCAGAGTAAGAAGTCCATACAAATGCAACACACAGTGGGGTTGGGTTCCAACCTTTGGCATTTGCTCTGTTCACTGTCTTGTTTTATCTAATAAATTACTGAGTTTAATTTTATGTTGTTTTCCTTTAAACTTCAACTTGCTAGTTGCTACAGTACTTATGGTTTCCTTTCTTGGCTGGCCACCTAAACCCATGTGCCGGGGATATGTCTTGCTTCAGGAGCAAATGGTCAGGGTCCTACTAGGTTTTAGTTACTCCAACTCAACCAGTTCAGTTCGTCTTCACATATTTATAAATATCCTTTTTCCATCTAATTTCTTTTATAAGATCGTCTGAAGGTTTAAATGATTAAATCCGTGCTAACTTTGTGAGGCTTCATGCCCAATTGGTGATTCATTCTTCTTTTGTTTTCTTAATGAAGGAACCAAAGCTACTAACAAGCCCAAAGCACAATGCTCAGTAGTTGAAAAGCAAAGACCATTATCAATACCAGGAAATTTTATGATAACATCCAAGCAAGTGGGTAGAAAATTTCATGGTATTAGCAAAGTATGTTGATTAGCAAACAGAGATTTTTAATGGGCACATGAGACTTGCAAGTCTGAACAACACATTCTTCAAAGAGCAGCCTCTTTTTCTCTCCTCACCACACTCATTATTTCAGCATCCAGGTGGCAGATAAAAGCAAAGTGGAATAAGCCAAGAAATGTTTAAAACCTGAATCATGTCCCTGACTTTAAGGCTAATCCCATGGGAAAGAACACAATGTCAACCATTAGCCTGACTCAAAAACTGCCCCTACCGCATACTTTAACTTTAGTATTATAAAAGAAAGAGAAAAAATATATGTATATTATATATATATATATATATATATCATATTGGTCCTACTTAATAGCATCAATGCTTAAGGATTCAAAATGCTGGGGCATAGCCCAGAGCTCGAGGTGGTGACCTTGGAATCCTCCCCTTCAAGGAATCTATACACGTTTTGTTCTGTTTTCTCTCGAAGCCCTGATTAAAATAAAAACAACCAACTCCATCTGTTTAACAGTAAAATCAAGAGGACAAGAGCCCACAGGTCAAACTGGGCCTGTCCAAGTCCACCCAACGTATACCTTATCTAGGTTGGGCTAATCTGTATGTGGGCCCTTCCCCCCATTTCTTGTGAGGTGGAGAGGAAGTATCATGATTCTCACGACAGAGACAACTGAAACAAATTTCAACCTCCCAACATTTTTTAACAGTTAGATTACTTACAGCAGGTAGGGGCAAGTTTCTTTCGTCTTCTATTACAGAATTCTTATTTTTTTTCTGAGTCATAAGTAAACATAGATTTTGTATTTTCTTTTTTGGCGGCTTCATCAGCTATGATTCATAACCTGTGCTCTCTATCACCACACTCCCCAAAATGTTGCTACATGAACCAAACCCCAGCTCTCACCCACACTCAGTTCCTGTCTTCCACATCCTTTTTAGGGTTAAAGAGAAAAACCCCTTCCTCAAATGTCAAATTCAACAAGCCTTTATTACCAAAACCCTTGGTTTATGCGCTGCAGTCCAACTTCTTTAAGGGTTTGCTTTTACTTTCTCTTTCTTTTTAGTCTTTGGAATTTTGCTGGATGTTTAAAAATGTAGTGGAGAATGCGGATTTTTTTTAAAAAAATATCTATCCATATATTGTAATTCAATTGAGCTCAGTGTATGTGAAACAAATAGAACTGTTAGTGACATAAAACAATTGAATTATGTGGATTTTGTCACTAAACTGTTTAATTTAATGTGGGTCTTTTAGTTAGTAAGTTCTTTTTGTGCATTTTCCATTCTTATATGTCACTTGCTTACTGTGCTGGAAGTACACAATCAAGCTAACATACTGCTTTCAGTGATGAGCTGAAGGGTTCATGCTAATTCTAGCGAATAAGGTTCAATTTCTTGTTATGATTTAGTCCTAACAGCCATTTTGAACTCTATGAATAGTTCTTCAAACAGCATGGAAGGTTGGGAAAGATGGAATTGAAGCTGGAACCAATCTCGTGCCAGTAAGTTTATCTTGTTGCTTTTGTACCTCTAATGTGTAATATGAAAAATATAGTGAAGATATTCTTCCTTACGTTTTTGAGTTTAGGACTCTGTACCAAGGCCAATAGCAAGGGTCTCTGTGACAATAGTTGCTCTGACTGTTACACTTTTTGTCCTCAAGTCATTCCTGTCAACAGCTTTCTTTGCTCTGGTATGTTGAGTTTCTTTCTTTCCGCCTATAGCTATTGGTAGATAGAATTGAGGATTCCATATTGGTTTTGCTTGTGCATCTTCTGCATATGATTTATGTTTATTATAGTTACATAGTTGGTAGTTACTGCCAAATTTGTTTACTGCTATTATGTATAAAATCGAAAAAAAAAAAGAAAAGAAAAGAAAAGAAAAGAAAGATACTGCTGCTGTTTTTAACATAGTTTGTCTGGTGATTGTATGCAAGTTTGTGCACTTCTTCCAATTATTGGATAAAGGTGTAACCTGTGAGGATGTGAGCCATCCAACATGTTAATCTAGATTTGATATAAAGAATCCATACTCCCTTAAAGACTTAGTTGTTTGGTTGCATTTAAGGTTTCTCTTTCGATTAATGCATTTCTTCCAACTGTGGAAGATGGCTAGTGCTGTCACTTAATTAAAACCATGTAATAGAGGCACATCCTCCCTGTGCTAATAGTTCAACAAAAGGTGAACCCATCTTTTCATGGTAACATGAAATATATAAATATGATTTAGCAGCTTTATACAGCTGTCTACTTGATTCTCATCTGTTAGACAATGGCTGATTGCTGTTCACAATTATAAACCTGGAAAACATCCTTGTAAATCAGAAGAAGAAATATGTCCAACATAGGAGGTGTTAGCCTTCACTTTGTAGTTTTCTTGGATGCCTGCAAGTGGTGCAAGTCACGCCTAATATTTATTTATGCAGTGCGTGAATCAGGTACCATTTAGCATTTGCTTTTTTGAAACTAGAATAATTTAGGGTGGCTTCTTTGGTTGCACTTACTGATTTGAAAAATCATTTCATATCTAATCTGACTGTTCCTGCAATTTTGTGCAAGGAATATGCCACATCATTATCTTCTTTACTCCTTTTTTACTAGAAGACTATAACTGCATCTCTATGTATCTAAGTTTTACTTTGTTTTTCCTCGTCTTTTTGGTATACTTGTTGAAATTGTAGTTATGACACTACAAATAAAAGCATATTGATGTGTAGACGATTAATCTGAACTTTAAGCTTAACAATCTTTTATCTCCATTCACTAACCGTGACGAATAATGTATTCTTCTGGATGAACAGGCCACAATGGGACTCGTGTATTTCATATTTATTGCCTTGAATAAAGATCAAGGGCCAAGGGGAGGCAGTGGCACTGACTCCATGGAAGACCCTGTGGAGGAAGCAAGGAAAATAATGGAAAAGTACAAATGACAACAGCAAGATCAAGATAGTTCTCGATCATCCAAATTTTGTATTACACCTGTCCTATGCAAATTTGTGGGTAAGCACCGTAAAGAAGGAATGAATTAAGCTGAGCAAGAATATTTGAAGTCGAGGAGAAATGGAATTAATCATTTCATCAGTTTGGTACAGTTCCTACAGAAGGCAGAATGACATTATTTCCTTGTTAATGATGGTATAGAAAAGCTAGTCTTTATAGAAACTAGTGTTGAACAGAATTGGTTTAAGGTACATGTAAAAGTGAGGACAACACATTCTTATTGCGAATGAGCAAGACAATGATCAAACCCAGCTTTTACTCTTGTTTCCAGAATCTTAGTCTTCCAGGCTAATAATGCACCGTAAACCCTCCCCCTTAACCATGAGCTCAAAGGCCTTGTTGATCTCTGAGAAAGGGACTCGATGAGTTATAAATTTATCCACCTCCAGCTTCTGCACCAAAAACCTTATTAATTTGCAGTGATGGCAATTGAATGTTGGAGCAAATAAATTAACTTGTAATGGCAGAAGGATATAATAGTGTTACCTTGTTCATGTACATATCAACAACAGATGGGAGATCAGTCCGCGGCTTGTAGTTTCCAAAGAAAGTTCCTTTCAGTGTTCTTTCATTAAGCAAATTGATGGGCTTGGTCACGAACACTGCTTCCTTGCTAGGCACTCCAACAAGAACAGCCACACCCCATCCCTGCGTAATCAAGAAATCACAGAAAACATATGATACATGAATTGGATACTAGAAATCGTTTTGATATCCAAAGTAAACCAAAAGGCTAGAGGGCCAAGGCATCAACATATACATTAGCCAAGTTCAAGCCTAAGACCGATGACAACTTTTGTCAACCTAGGATCGAGCTAATGTCACTTAGACAAGCTGCATTGCTAGACATCGACAATTAGGGGTTGCAAGTTCTGGAAACATACGTCATGAACACATTCAAAAGCTGAAATCATGGCGTTAATGCTGCCAGTGCATTCGACGCTCCTATCCACCCCACCGTTTGTCATCTCAGCAATAACCTGAAAGTATAAATAAATAAAAACCCTGTTACCGCGGACTGATATTGATGATATCTGAACGTGTGTAAATTGAAATGAACCAAGGTGAAACTAGCAGAGCAGAGATGAAAATTTGACCTCTTGAACTGGCCTGTCATAGTCCTTGGGGTTCACAAATTCTGTGATTCCAAACTTCTTGGCTAACACCCACAGGATGTAACATAGAGAAAGAAGTAAATAAAAAAGATAAGAGGCCATGTTGTTCGCACTGACTATTTACACGTTTAGTTTAGATACGGACACCGATTAAGCTGAATTACGCAAATAAATATAGATAAGAAGAAAAAAAAATGGTCAGCAAGAATAAAGAAATAACATAATAAATTAAAACATTAGGAATACGAAGTTGACACAAAAAAAAAAACACAAGAAGGAAAAGCAAAAAAAAAAAAGAAGGAAAAAAAAAAAGAAGACGATAAGAAGAAACATAAAAAAACAACAGAGAAAAAAAAAAACAACACAGTATTTCATACCCTGTTTATTACAAAAAAAGAAACCAAACAACAAAAAAATAAAAATAAAACGATAAAGTAAAGAAGCGCAAATAAGAAAATAAAAAAGAAATAAACAGGAGTATGTGAAATCTTTAGCAAATAGGATAAAGAAAAAACACAAAAGCAAAAAAAAAACAAATAAAAAAAACTACAACAAAAGAAATATATAAAAGATCAAGCAAAAAGAAGATAGACAGTTATAAAACTAAAGAAGCATAACAAGTAACAAAAAAGAAAATCAATTTTTCGAAGAAATAAAAAAATAGTTAAAAGATTTAAAAAAATGAAAAAAAAGAGTGAATATAAAACAAAAAGAGGTAAGAACTCAATATAGTAATTACTTATAAAGAAGTAACAAATTCGACAATGAAAGATTAAAAAAAAAATGTACAACCTTGCTCAAACCTTCCACGATTGAAATCCACCCCTATAATCCTTGATGCTCCGGCAATTCTTGCACCTTCTGCAGCCTAGAGAAGAAAACAAAAGGCAAAATTTTTATTTCTTTTTCTTTTTTTTTTCCACCAACTTCTCTCACCTCAAGTTTATTTAAACTTGGTGAGAAAATGAACTTGTAAAAATTTGTATGAAACTTTACAGCCAGCCCAACAGCTCCCAATCCAAAGATAGCCACCGAGGAACCTTTTTGGGGTTTTGCCACATTTAAAGTAGCACCCAATCCTGAAACATGGAAAAACAAGTAATCGATTTCATTCGATAGAAAATTTATCATTGATCAAGAAATGAGCAGTTGCTATAGTGAAAGCAACCTGTTGAGATGCCGCAACTGAGGACACAGACTTTATCCAAAGGTGCCAGAGGATTGATCTTTGCAAGACAGCCTGAATGAACAACAGTGTACTCACTAAAGGTTGATGTCCCAACAAAGTGATTTATTGGTGATCCATTGATTGAAAACCTAGACCTTCCGTCGCTGAGCATGACGCCTCTCTCTGTGTTAATCCTCAGCAGGTCACACATATTGCTTTCGTCGGACTTGCAGTGAGCACATTCTCCACACTCTCCTGTGAACACTGGAAGCACATGATCCCCGACCTCAAGGCCCGTTACACCTTCCCCTAGACTCTCCACAATCCTTGCATCATGAAATTAAGTTCAAATAAGCAATTGCAAGGCAAATATCAATCAAATTGTCCCAAATTGTACTAATATTAGGTGAACTTTGTTCACTCCTCATTGTAGTTTTGATTGTACTTTCAAATGTTTCGTTAAGAACCAAATATATACTCCACTATTGCAGTTCGTATTCTGTAATGATTTGTGAACATTCAATTCATCGTACAAAGTAAAAATCAACAACATACCCAGCTGCTTCATGGCCAAATATTCGAGGAAACAATGGCGTCTGGCCCTGTAAAAGTCCAAACCAAGAATCTTTTCCATTAATTAAATATACTTGAAAAACTAAGAAGGAAAAAGAAAACTGAATCAGCACAGATAGCCACAAGGCAGATTTTATTTTTAAAACTAAATTACCAAAGAGGTAAGGGTGAAAACTGAAAAGACATGTTAGCAATGTAGGGTCCCGAATTGTTGAATTTGTGTTATTCGATGCTAACTGGTCGAGATATTTTACACAAGGAGACAACATGCATTCATGATGACACCCAACCAAGAGACAGCCTTCCAAACCAAAGGTTTCCACCATTACAACCATTGAAATTAAGAAACTAAAAAGTCTCATATGGTTTTCCCACATAGCAAACTGATAGAGTAAACTTCTCCATGCTAAATTTTAAACCTAAAACATGCAAGTACATTTTCAGAGTGTAAAATCTATCTGAGAAATTAAAGGGAAAAAAAGGCCAATAATTAACAAGACATTATTTAACATATACATCCTATAAATCAATCGGTTAAAAAACATAAAAAATTATGTGTTACACACCTTGGCTTCCCAAAAGTAGAGATCAGTGTGACAAAGTGAGGTATACTTGATTTTGATCCTCACTTCCATGGCCTGTGGTGGAGCAACTTCCACTTGCTGAATCACCAATGGCTTCCCTGCTTCCCATGCAACAGCCGCTGCAAACACAGAAACCTCGCTAGATTAGAATTTAAGAAAAAAGGAAAACTAAATCATGCCCATTCCCGGATACAGTACAGGGTAATTGGAGAAATTAATCCACATCCAGTGATCTTAAAACCCATGGCCATGATCATTTAAATTCATTAGCCATTTCTTAGATAACATTTACCCACAAGTTAGATAGCTTAAGAAACAGCTAAATCGAATCAGAAACTCATATTCAAAATAAGGAGAGATAATAATTAACCTGCAAAAGCAGCAAAACCTCGCTTTCAGAGAATGGAATTAATTTACCTTTGCAGGGAATAACAAGACCCGCAGTACTGGACATGGCAGGTTTAGCTGAAGAACCGACGTTAGAAAATAGCCTTGTTTGCAGTGCAGGACAAGGAGATTTGTAAGAGAACCAACGAGTATCAAAACACTTGGCGTTCACCGTTTTAAACGGAACTGTCAAAGCCTTTCGCACATGATTCATATTTATGCGTACGTACACAGTCAGACACTCGTAATATTTTGCTTGGTTTGTTTTAGCCTATTTATTAAAGAAGTGCTATCAAAACTACTGCTAGCTCTTCCCCGCTTGTGATTGAAATGTGAAGTTGGGCGCGTAGATATTTTGGTGAAAGTAAGATTTAGTCCAAAAACAGCTTAACACATAGAGACGAGAATTGAATCTGAGGGTCTAACGTCCATTGTTTTGGATTTGTTCATTTATAAGGATAACAAAGCAACGTTCTGCACGTTTGAACAAATGGGATTCTCCCGCGTCCACAGACTCATCTTATCTGGCATTCCTTTTTTAACTGTACTCGGGCCTTGGCTATTGCTACACATGCTTACTTGGCTACTTTCTTTCGGTCTTTTTCTTTGAATTTATCCCTGGCGTCACCCAGAAGGAAAGACAATAGAAAACGACTACTGCGTTAGCATTGTTTTTGAGATTCGAGTGGCTTTAGATTGGGAGATATGGCTTTCTATTTTTCAGAATCAAATCTGTTTTCTCTAAGTAGTAAGGAAAAGAGACTTTTGTGTGTTTTAAATCTTGTGATCCGGCTAATAATAGTCGGACATTTTAAATAGTAATAGTAGAAGAATGAATGGAAAAGGTCTTTCAACCAATTATGCATGTTAAAAAGTTATGTTTGTTCAAATAATTAAGTTTATTCAAATGGCTATATTTGATTAAATTATGCTTCTCCAAACAGTTATGTTTGTTCAAAACGTTGCGCTTATATAAAAAGGCACATCTTTGTTTATAAATATAACTTTCTAGTTTTTTAAAGATGGAAGAACAAAAACAATTTGCAATTCTTCTTTCCACCTTTTGCAAATTCTTCTTAAATTACTTCTATATTGTTTTGCTGTAACAAAACTCTATAAGAGTTTGATTATCTTATCATACGTTGGTGAGTGCTCAATAGATTAATTTTGTCAATGCAAAATACAGTCAATCATTGAACTTTATTATATTTTAGAAGTTTATCGCTTGTAACCCTTTTATACACTATTAGGAGTGACAAATAAAACCTCAAGATAGGTTAAATTATGCAATTAGTCCCTTTAGTAGACCAAAGTGGCTGGTTTAGTCACTGTATAATAATTTGTGAAAATTGAGTCCATATGCTTTCTAAAATTGACAATGTCAGTCCAATTGTTAACAATGTTAAAATCTTTTTTGTTGTTATGTATGTTGACATGATATTGTCCTACTGATGTGGCATTGAATATGATAACAATGTTAATGATGATGTGGCATTTTTATCAATGTCACAATATTTTTTCACTACTTTAAATTATGGAACATGGAAATTAAATTGTTTTGTCTCACAACACTCTTTCCCTAAATCATATTTTTTATATGTTTCTTTTCCAATCCTATTTAAAACCATTAGCGTACATCGAATAATTTCACGTTAGCACTTGTAAAATCCATATCATTGTTTGGTCACATTATATCCATACTACTATTGTATCATTCGTGAAATGCCACATCATCATTACCATATTATCAAATTTAATGTCACATAAGTAAAAAAATGCCACATCAACGTAACCAAACTCCATATTAGCATAAATAACAGAAAGTTATTAACGCATTGGACTAACATTGTCAATTTTGAAAAGTATAACGACTAAATTTTTACAAATTATTGTATAGGGACTAAATGCACCACTTTAGTTAAGTACAAGAACTATTGCATAATTTGACCAGCAAAGATACATGTCTTGAAACCATTCCCCAATATATTTTGGTTTTTCAATCATGTGTTCTAACAATTTTAAAGTTTTATTTCATTTCAAGAATGGTTACTACAAGTGGAACACTAAGGGAGCTAACTTCTGACTTTTACAAAATTGGATTGGTTTGATGTTGTCAGAGAAAATGACAAAATGATTTTTCATTAGATTACTAGATAAGTTTTCTTTTCTTAATTGATTTGATAGCATGAATTGTGTGAATTCATAATTATTGCATAATTCAATAGAGTTATACAGTAATAATTATGTATCTATTAAGTATAAGATGATTGATAGTAAACCTATAATTGATTAATTTGCTAGATTCTTGATATCTTTAAACTTTATAAAATGAATATTCATGAATATATTGTTATGTCCTTGAACTTCGATAAATTGCCATCATTATGGAAAGACTTTAAGAAAACCTCAATACATAAAAAATAAAAGATCTGTCTCTTGAAAAGTTTGCGAGTCATCTTTGAATTGAACAACAGTACTGCAAGGAACATGAGAAGAAGTCATGTGTCAAATGTTCATGAGATGTTAGAAATATAGTCCAACAAATCCACAATAAAAAGAAAAAAGAAATTTCTACTAAAGCCTAAAAATTCAATAAGGAAAAGGGTGCATGTTTCTATTATGAAAAACAAGGTCTCTTTAAGAAAGATTATTACCTCTTCAAGAAGAAGAAAAATGTACCGGTAGCAACAAGATGAAATTTTGTTACAACAAGCTTTGAAATTAATATCTTGAAATATAATGAGGCATGGGGGATTGTTTCAGATGCTACGAAGTATGATTGCAAAGATAAGTTTGTTTTGTCCAACGAACACATACTTGTGGAAAAGGTTTATATGAATAAAAGCATCTTTATAATAATTTTATTAGTAATTACAACTATAAAATATTATTTATTATATGATTTTCTTGATTTATGGCATCATAATTTATGACATGTTAATTATAAGAGAATGCTTACGATATCTAATTCAGAATTATTCCAAATATTGATAAAATTATAAAAAATCATAGAACTTGCATACTTATTGTGATCATTAGATATTCATTTTTAATGTTGAAATTACTCTAAATACTCAAATTGGTGCATATTATTATATGTGATTTACATAGTTCACCCTCAATAGGAGGAGTTATGTGATATTTAGTAGTATGATTATTCAAGACTTTGCTATGTATATTTGCTACATTCTAAAGTTAAGTTACTTGATAAATTTAAGATTTACAAATTAGAATGTGAATTACATTATGAATATTTTATCAAGTGCTTAAAATTTGATAGTAATCTAAATTATTTTGACTCCACTAGGATAGTCCATCAAACTTCAGCACCTTATACACCACAATATAAGGGTGTGGTAGAAAGGAAATATAGGATGTTGACCAAAATGGTAAATGCAATGCTATCATATTTTGGTCTTTGACAAGGTTTTTAGAGTGAAATTTTATTAACAATTTGTTACACTCTCTACCTTTTCAGACTCCAATGAAGTAAGGAATCCTAATGATAAAACCTCATGTTTAGCCTACATTGTTTATCTTGGTAGCACACCAATATTATGGAGTTCTAAGAAGCAAAAAATTGTAGCTTGGTCATCAACAAAAGCTGAGTATCGAGCTATTGTAGCAACAATTTCTAAAATAACTTAGATTCAATCTTTGCTCTATATCTTCGATTACAGCTTAAAGATAAGTCTGTTCTAATTTTTTAATGTACACCTAAGACAAAATATTTAAATGAGGCCTTTTTTATTGAAATTAAGAAAAAAAATTTTATTCTTCTAATTTTTTGAGATGCAAAATTTCTTATTAAACTTTTATAATTAAGTTCTTCTAATATTTCTTTTTCAATTAATAATATAGCCAATCCATTTAATTTTTCTTACGATATTGTTGATCGTGAATAAGATTTATTAATTTTAGTTTTGGAAAACTTCTTTTACTTGAAGCACACTTAATGGAATTGTTAACATTATTTTAAAAGCAATATATGCATTTGGAATTAGGAAGTGATAAAAAAATTGAGATTTATTAGGTATATAATTAACCATGTAGACACCTTATTTTTTCCAAGGTATTGAACTTTGAAAATTAAAAAAAAATGGTGAAGGAAGATAAATATGTAAGAATAAGGATATGTTTGTACCAATCCTAATCAAATTGAAATCTAAAGGGAGATTAACTTAGATTAAATTAAAACTCAAGAAATCAGTTCGAGAAAGAATAAGACATATCGACTATAAATATATCCAAGCATCAAGGTTAAAGAGCACATAGAGAGAGAAAAAAAAGAATAGGGAGAGAAAAGAATTAGGGAAGGAAAACTGAGAAGATACAATTGGTAGAAGAGAGAAAATGGTTCTTGAGTTCTTAGGTTCTTAGGTTTCAATTTCTTTTAGATCTAGAAGAATCAATTTAGTTTCTAAAGAAACTATTTTGATTAAAGATAGAGGAAAAAAAAAGAATAGGGAGAGAAAACAATTAGGGAAGGAAAACTAAGAAGAGATAATTGGTAGAGGAGAGAAAATAGTTCATGAATTCTTAGGTTCTTGGGTTTCAATTTCTTTTAGATCTAAGAGAATCAATTTAATTTCTAAAGGAACTATTTTGATTAGAGGGGGAAATAAACAAAAAAAAAGTAAAAAAAAAAGTGTCCTAGCTTCTTGAATAAGGTTTAGAGAGTGTTCTTCATTCCTAACAGTGCATGCTTGGTATTTGGATTTACATTAGGTAAGTTTCTTTTTATATGATTCTAATTTATTTTATTTTTATTTTTATTTTTTTAGTACATTAAAAAATAAGAGTTTACATTATATAAATAAAAACTCCCTGATGATGGAATTTCAAGAAGGTTATGATTAATAACTTCTTGAAAATTTCTAAGTGAGAGATTTTTCTTGAATTTTGTTATAATTGTTGGAGTTTTCAAGGAAAATCTCAATATAAAAAGAGTTTTTATTTATTTTAAGAATAGAATAAAATTAAGTATTGATTAAGGTTAATAGATAATGAATAATTAATTAGGTACCAATTAGATGGGCATTGTGAGGGTGCTAACACTTTTCTTACAAGTAATTGTACTTCCAAACCTAAATCTATCTTGTAAACCAAGGCCTATTTTTTTAAAATGAGTCTAAGTCAAGCCTAGGATTTTATTAGAAAAAAAGATTCACTTAGGTGATCAATTACACCTAAACAAAAAGATTGAGGGTGACTCCTTTTAAGTCAAACTGTTGAGTTTCAAGACTCAGCACACTATGATAGCTTGGCGACTCCATTTGGGAAGCAAGAGAGTCGAGTCTATAACTAGTTA